CACACATATTAAAAAACTAAAAATGTGTTTATGATTTGTAGTTAAAACAATTAGTGAAAATCAGCTAACGTAATCATATTTCTAAAATATTAGAAGGAAAAAAATATTCTCTATATTAATTCTAGGATCTATATATTTCATGAAATATGAACGGTCTATTTCTTATTAAAAGATTTATAGTTCAATAAAAATAAAATCTTATTTTCAATTAATTTGATCTTGTTTAACCACACATGTAACTTAAAAAATTATCCTAACTCTTTTATTTTTCAACCTACTAGAAAGACCAACGTTTAAAATATAATATCATAAAATCTCAAATATTTCTCTACGATGAATAAAAATCAATATATATATATAAACTCAGGAGCCGAAGATAAATGACAAAAGAAAATGAGAAATAATCATTTATAATCATACTATAAAGATAAATTAGAAAATGACTAGTAAATTTTATCATGACATATATATAATGTAAGCAAAATATTAGTTTATCATGATAAATCATATAAGCAAATCATCTCTATAATATTAAAATAGAAGTACATTTAGGAGAATGTCCAAAGTTGATTCAAATATTACTCAAATTGCCATTGCCTTATAACTAAATTGAATCAATTGAAAGGGTAATTTTGGATAGATGTAATGGCAATTTCAGTAAATTTGAAATCAATTTCGGACATTTTTTAACTGGATCTGATTGAAAGAACACGGATCTTCCGCGACCCGGTTTCGCGACCCATTTTCATTAATGGCATTATTGTAATTTCATCACATATTCTTATCAATCCAAGATTTTATCGTTCGAGTCAATTTGCGTGTGGGTTAAAAGCCCAATCCATCTAACTATAGAAATACATATTCGTGTGGGTTAAAAGCCCAATCCATCCAACTTTCCATTGTCATTATTATTTGTTTCCTTATAACAAAACCGATGTATTTGTAAATATTCATCATAACTGATAGGTCAATTATGGAATGTAATAATAACTCCAACTTTCAATTATAATAATTATTTATTTCTTTATTGACAATTTACCAAAAAGAAATCATAATGTTTYCAAGTAAATCGATTGGTTATGATRAATATTCCATAWTAG